GTGTGTGTGTGTGAGTGTGAGAGAGAGAGACAGTGAGAAAGAAGTCCCTCTGGGCATTTGGCTGCAGCACTGGTGAAGATACGGTAGTCTGATGTCTCCTGACATGGCCAATGATTCATAATTGAGGCTGTACAGCTGTTGCTGGCTGCACTGACAGGTCCCAGGGTAGATGACAGATGATAGGGCCCTCTGGGGCCAAACTATCTATGGGTCCAAATGTTCACTGTCCCCTATCTGCTCACCTGTCCTTCTTGAGCCTGCCTGTTATATTTAAACCGAGTGGTCACAGATCCACAATCTGTTTGACCTCAGTGAATTTGATTATAGCTCGCATTGCAATGTATCAGAGTGTGTACCACACAGCAGATGGACACAATGCCATAAACACATGTGCAATGTGATGTTTATTAAAGAAATAATAATAATAAATAACTTTGATGTAGTTTGTGCCGTTGTTGTATTGGATTGTCTCACAGCGTCAGCTGTTAATAATTTTGACAGTTTTTTTCACATCAGTATGAATATAATTGTAAAGAAAAAGTATCTTTCCATCACTGATAGAAATAGTGCAAATTTGTTACAAAATGTTGTAAAGAAGTAACTATAAATCTAAATTTATAAAATATGATAAACTTTATTTGTATAGCGCTTTTCTTAATAAAGTGCTCTCCAAGGAAAAGAACAAAGTGCTTTACAGAGAAAATTCTAAATACAATTTAATAATTAACATAAAAATAAATAGATAATTAATTGTAACAGACAAAATGAATGTAATCATATAGTCACATTAATTATTAAGGATACTCAAACACAACTGTTGAAGAATTATTGCAAGCCAGCTGTCAGGTACATTGAAGAATGTTTTCGGAGACTGATGAAGTTTTACACAACAAAGTTTAATGAGACTTGGCCCACGTGTGAACGCAAGCGATGCCAACACCAAATCTGAACATCTTTTGGTCTCTTTTATGTTTCTTTCTTCCCCCAGTTCCTGTAGGTTTCATTATTAGGTCATCCTTAGCTGACCTTAACCTAGAACAATTAATCTATCTGATACTGTATGTAGACTCCAATGCTCCGTCATATTGGAATCTATCACTATCCATGAGTTGTACTCTAATCTGTGGAGCCAGTGAGTTCTTGTAAACATTCTTGTAGGACTCAACCTTGTTAGATTTCCAGAGAACACTGTTATCTGCTAGCCTGACACCTGAGCTACTGACTAATCTCTAACTAATCAGTCTATCGTTGTCTCCCTGACAAGAATAAGTACATGAGAGAAATACCTAAAGCTAGAATGTCAGAAAGAACTTGGGGGTCAGCTACATTATTCTAAGCTCGACCTGTCTTACCTTTCCCTGTTACATCAACAAAGCCCCTTAAGAAATATTCTCAACAATCTGGTTAGATGAAATATATAAAATATTCACAGTCTTTCATAAAAGACTGTCTTAGTAAGTGATTAATTTAAAGATGTAGACTGATCTCAATGGGTAGAGGTATGTGTGTATGGTTGTATAATAATAATAATAATAATAATAATAATAATAATAATAATAATGGATAATAAAAGTTGGTATCACATACAGTGGTTTACAGCAATGAATAAACAAGTCAATAAACAAATAAAGGAAAAATAAATTACGCATCACACAGTGGTTTAAAATCAATAAATAAAACATAAACAAGTCAATATACAAATAATGGGAAAATAAATTACGCATCACAAAATGAAAGCTTTTTTATAGAAATGTGATTGACAGTTAGAAGTGAGACAAAACCAAGAACAGACTCTACAAGCCTGATCTCCTCTGGTAGATTGTTCCAGAGAGGGGCCCTGACCACAAAGGCCCTGTCTCTGATTTGTAGCCTAGACCTGGGAATAGCAGCAGAGGATTTCAGTCTGCATTGTGGCTTGTATGTATGTTTGTCTGTATTTATTTCTGTATGTCTGTCTGTACATATGTATGAATGTATGTTTGTTTAAATGAATGTACGACTAAATAAATTTATGTACAGTATTTGTGTCTGTCTGTACGAATGTATGTATGTATAACAGGGAGCCAACATAAGTTAGCTTGTTGTTAAAATAGCTGATAGAAATTGCTGGTCCAATTAGTATGATGTCAGATTAATCTTCATTTTTATCATAATTCAATTTCATGACAGTGATAGACTACTACAATTGTTGAATTACACATTCAACATAACACTGCGTGTCATCCACAAAGCAATGGACATCACGGCTTCATGGACATCATTCAGTACTGATGGGCTAAATGAGAGCTGTTCAAGAACTTAACAGCCATCATTGAGCCACAGATTACAGGGGAGGATGAATTGAGCTAGGATTTCCACCAATTCCACTGAGGGCTTTAGCAGAAGGACATTTGATGTCTTGCCTGATTTATCTGGGGAGAGATTGAAACTTTGATTGACTGAAACATGTATTGTTTATTTATTGTTTATTTGGATCCCAAAGCTACCCTTCCTGGGGTGTATGTTAAGAACATAATGTATACACATGCTTTAACATATATAGAGTGTCAGTCATCCCTCATGGACTCACCACCTTTACAAAATGGCAAAGGCATCAGAAAAATAATGATAGAATAATAATTTCTGAATTGAGATGAAGGAAATTACAAGCTCTGGTCTTCACTTTATCCCCAATAAATACAACCTGACTTTCATCACTGTAGGTGCGAAAATGTACATGTCCTTTTCCTTGAAATGTTTAAACTACTTTTTACAAGACTGTAATGCAAACAATCAACAATAAATTCACAACACAATCAATCATGGTTGTAATTGAGAGCTAAATTTAAATCTGTAATTTAGAGTCTCCACGGTTGTGGACAATGTGAGACAATCAAATTAATCTGACGGTTAGCGGAACGGCAATTCCACATTGTCTGCATTTCAGTCTTATTCCTTGAATATATGAGTATGTGTCTTACACTGAAGGAGAATTACTGTGCTGCACTTTGGAGTGAATTATGAAGTTATAAGATGAGCAAGTAGCCGAAGTAACCTGATTTGCAAAACATTCAAGCCTTCCATAGTAACTCTGAGACAAAAAGGCAGAAGTGGGGAAAAAAAGAACTGTGCCTAAGGCTTTGTCATTGCCGTTGCCCTTGAGAAACAGAAACAGGGATTCTAAAACCATGTGACATTCCCTTATTACTCACTGCACAGGCTCCTGCAATGACTAAGATGCACATTTTTTGTAATTTAAACATACAAATTGATTTTGTAACACACACAAAAAAACATGGGAACATCTGTTGTTTGACTATTTCGATATACTGTTTTTTCTCTGTGTTCCCAGTTAGTCTGAAAACCTCCAGAGTGGTGTTGTGATAAGACTCAAATCAATCAAAGTGGCTGACCTCATGGATCATTCAGGAAGAAGTCACCTTTAAGCTCAGTCTCAGAGTGTCCATTAGCCTCCCTGCACTCATTGTCAGGTCCTCTTTGACTGAGTGATAGTTAGCCAACCTGACCAAATTCATTTTCCTGCTGCTGTTGTGCAGTGTGCTCATCTGGCCCACTGTCTCAGCTTTTCCAGGCTGTTGCACTAACACTCCTGCACACACATTACTTCAGGGACATCAGCCTGTGGAGGGCAACCCTTTTTTTTGCCTCATGGCAAACCTGAGACCTGAGCCCACTACCTATGACAGCATTAGCTTTCAGAACATGCTATGAATTTCACTTAGAGCTGGTAATGGATGTGGGTGAATTTGCTTTGATGGTGCACTTACCTTTCAAGACAGGAGCTCGGTCCATTTTGGATCTGGGTGCAAGTTTCTTTAAAATTTTCAGATTCATTAAGCTCTGATCAATATCATGTAGTTGATTTTTATCTCTGCTCTCTTTTTTTATGACACACAAAACATTTAGCTATTAATTTAGAAAACATTTAATTTATCTGGCTAATCTTACATTTTCGTTGTTTGGATTTCATTTTTGAGTGATTAGTTCTTTTTAACATGTTATTGAAAGCCTCCTTTTTGCAGTGCAATTAAAAAGACACCCCTCAAAACAAACCACCTAAATAAGTCGATAAAGGGTTTAGCCTCGATAAAAACGATTCAATCCTGGATTAGCTTTAATAAAAATATATACAACCATGACATTATTTAAGATTGCCATGAAAAACCCAAGTGAAGGTGAAGGCTTTTTAATTTTATAATACACAATAATAATCATGATTTGCTGTTGAATTACCATACCTCTTTTTATGGTTCTGTGGAGGATGAATCAGACGCTGCCCCAAAACGTGCAGTACTCCATTATCCAGGCAGTTTAACTACATGCAATCCTCCTGAGGTTCTTTCACCAGATTTAGCTGCAGATGCTGTTCAAACCTGTTGAAGACATAAAGCACTGCTGTCAGAGTAGCTTACAGGCACAAGGAGAAAACAGAAAGGGGATGAGTCGATCGTGCAACAAATCATGCGTGGAATGACCCGGACAGATTCTACAATTACTCAAAAAACATGTCTACAATCCGGGAGCAGGTTAACAAAGAAATGCACTAAACCAAACATATCCCTGTGTTGGTAGACAACTAAGCAAGCTAACACAGCAAGTGAGCGAGTTTTTCACAGCAACGTCATTAGACTTGGCGTTAAATGGAAATAAAACAGTGGTGTTGCTGAATTAAGATCCCACCTGGTGTGAGAGTCACCAGGTTTGTGTGCAATGTGATTTTTTCATGTTCATTAATGGTCTAGTTAAAAGTCTATGAATTCCGCCTATTGGTCTTTGTTAAGAGTGGACAGAAATAAATCTGCTCACTCAGTGCTAAAAATACAAAGCACTGACTTTTGCTTTTGATAATTCTTTGTGCAATGTTTCAGTTTACAAAAAACCTTTGCAAAGGGTAAGTCAGTAAGTGAACTGTTTGCTAGCCTGACATCATACATGATGCACAGAGACACAGTAATAAAGGACTGTGTGTAATTGTATGCCGTGGTCGTATTTCTCGGCAGGTGCTAAATGTGAGTGTGTTGGAGGGAGAGCAGGTGACAGTGGAGGATACGGGTGGCCAGGAAGCCTTCATCCTTGCCAATGAGTCAGTCTTGATGAGGGGCCTTGTTCTACGCAGCTGGAGCAACCAGATATCCATACGATTTCATAGTGACCAACAGCACAACTCCGGATTCCTCCTGCTGCATTACCAAGGTGAGCCAGTACCATGCTAACTCTGCTGTCACATTATTCAAACTGTACATCGATCAAACAACTGCTCAGCCTTGCTCTCAATGGATTCAAATTGCTTGAACATTAAACATGTACGTGTCATATTGGGAAAAAACTGCTAGATGCAAACATCTCTCGTCATTGTATTTGTTCTCTGCAGTTGTTGAATTTGGTCGGTAGCGTCATTTGGGTTGTGAGACAACCTTTATTTACAGAAATGTAAGGGGTTCTTCTGCTTCGCTTCTTATCACATTGCAGCTATCACCCAACAAGATAGGGAGAGAAGAACCGTCAGTACAGGAATGTACTCTTATCCTCACGTCATCCTCACGTCCTCCTCATGGTGTATTTTCTCATAAAATGCTCTGTTCCAAACAGTGACTGTTGAGCTTACTGTATTTTAACAGTTACGTGCATGTCAATCACAAGTCCAGGAAGAAGTTAGCATACCATTGGAATAAACACATCCAGTAGTTTTGTGACCACTGAATTCAATTGGCCTTTGCCAGTGGTGGAAAAGTGTTTGTGTGTGAGTGTGTGGTGGTGGTTGAGTGCTACATAAAACATATCTTATTAAAATTACTTAAAATGACCAAGAATGCTGAGATCTAGTGATTATTTTTTTTGATGATGCTGTTTATTCAGTTTCCAAAAATGTGTTCTCCTACTACTCTCCTGCTCTGCTCACCTCTCCTCTCTTGTCCAACAACAATTAACACATAAATTGACACATAATCAAGACTAATGTTACTAGATGTTAATGTAACTGTTTTTAAAACAGGATCAGAACTGAATATTTTAAATATAACTAAATGTTGTTTCTAGAGCAGCAACAGTAATGTTTACAACAGCAAAGTCACTATATATTCCATATACCGTATACTATATACACTATGTACAGGCTCACATGTTTGTTGAACAGGTGTATTGAATAAGTATTGACTTTTTACTCGTGAAGGTTTTATTGCGAGCGTAGCTGTCACCAACTCGTTAATCTTCATTGTCTCCAGCACGGCCTCTCTGCCCGAGCACCTCTGCTCTGCTGACCACTGACTTTGTGCCGTGTGTAAGTGTTTGTATAGGAGCTCGCACAGAAAGCAAGATTTCTATGATTTCTACACAGATTTGTTCTTCTTAATTTAACATTAGCATAATGAAGGAAAAAATAGGGTGCATCGATAGTGAGCTTCTTTTAGGATTTTAGGAGTCAGACATGCAGGACGTATACCTGTCAAAATCTAAGCAGCTTCAAGCACACCTGAAGCTGGTAGTGATGAAAGCGCAGACACAGAAACGCTGCTCTGGGCTTCGATTTGGTAGACTAGTTTCAGAGACCCTGCAATGTCACGCCTTCCCATTGGCTGTATGGGCAGTAGCTGGATTTACACCACTGGCATTTGCAGAGATTTAAACAATTAAATGTGATCAAATAGTTTCAGCAGCAACATCTGTCAGCAGAGATAGTTGTTGGTGAACATGATGGGACATACATTCCTCCCTCTCTCCACTTGTTTTGTGTGTGACATTGATCTTCCATGTCCGCAACAATGTCTGTTTATCTTAGCAATCACACAAAGTGGCCACCAATTACATGCCCCATCGATTTGAGTTGATGGTGGAAGCTGGACAAAACATTCATTTCGCCACATTACTGTAGCACTTTCATCAGTTGGCAAAATGAAAGCGATCATCAAAACAGTGTTGCTGATGTGAGATAAATCAGCCCATCACTGTTGGGTGCATGAATATTAGTGTGCGGTCAGGCTGAATGATGACAGTGAGGGGTCAGTACAGATCATACAGGGTGATGCATAGATGGGGACAGATTGTGACAAATAGATGGAAGACTGACACTGTCAGTAGGTCTACATTTCTCATTCACTTTTCCCCTTTGCATTCCAGTACCTTTTAGTTAGCCTAAGTTTGTATGAAATGAAACACACTGTACTATTTATTTGATTCTTATGAACATATTGTTAAAAATTGCCTATTCACCTATCCATATAATCCACATTCACTGTTAAATAAAACCCAATGGTCGTACTTCACAATGCACCAGATGCTGCGAGGGGTCTGCAGGTTGAATCATGAGGACACTACACAGGGTGCTGATCCTGTGATATTATTAATTTAAACTGCTGCTTATTTTGTGACCCATGCAGCATTTGGTCACAATCATCATCACTTCGTAAGAACCATGAATAACCAAGTGGTTTCTTATGTTCCATGCAAACATCTCCTGGACTCATAACCAGGATTTTGTGCATGTATGTGGGCAGGTGCACCAGTCACGTACTTGTTAATCAATTGATATGATAATCAAAGTGATGATGACAGAAACTATAGCTCACTCTTTTTTTCCAGGGGGGGACTGACTGCTGAACCATTCATAGCTGTAAGCCTGGGGCCTACATGCTTATTATTATTATAATATAATAATAAGCATTATTATTATTATTATTATTATTATTATATTATTATATTATTATTTATTATTATTATTATTATTATTATTTATTCATTCATTTATTTATTCTATAATATGTAGCCATTTTGCTACAATTAGGAACATCTACGGCACTCTCTACACTGTTTCGACCTGACCTTTCTTTTCTCCGTGAGATGTGGGATGATGCGTAAAATTCACCCAGCCCGAGGGAACGATCACCAAGCGTCCACAGCGCGCCGGTCCATGCGGCCCAAAGTGTGTACCAGGCGCTGAAGCATACAGGGCCAGCGTGTCCGCTTGATGATCGTTCCCTCTGCAGCTCTGGCTGAATGAAGCTCCTGATTTTATGCATGATCCATGATGATACAGGAAAATAGCAAAAAATGGCAAAAAAGCATATTGTCAACATTTTAGAGACAAATCATGTTTTTAGGGGAACTCATGTCTTATTACTAGGAGCTAAACTCCTTCTGGCTCCCCCATAGTTCGCGCTCTGATCTACACCCTAAAAGTAAAGTGAAACTAAGGATGTCCTGAGCTGATCTACAGACGTGAAATTGAGACTAATCTAGGCATTTATGTTTAATACAGTTTACGAATTGGATATAAAGCCATATGTTTTTCATTTGTTGGATAGAGAGCCTTAAATAACCATGGGGTCTTATGTTATATCCTATCTTGAATATTATTAGAACCAGTATAAAACTCATAGCCGGGAAAAATCATGTGCATGTAAACATATCCATTGACAACTGACCATGTGAAGATCAATCCTCTCAGGGGTGCCCTGGGTTACTCTGTGTCTAACTTTATTCTCAATACAAGGCCTCATCTTAATATGGACTCAGCTTGACACAACACCTCAAAACTTTCTAATTTAGTGCCGGATCCTGTTGAATCAGATGCTTAAGTAAATATTCCTAGGCATTTTATGATATAATTTGTTAAAACCATTATAAAACACTTTCACATAGACAACCTTGACGGATGGATCATGGATGTGTGGGGTTTGTTGTCCACCAAATGACCTTTTTGTTGATTGGGACAAATTTACACTAATGAGAAAAAATGCAAGGAGCAGATTTCTGGAAGGATAGACATATTGGAGATATTTCAATTTGTGTCCCTCTCCTTGGTAAGCAGAGTATCACCTTGTCCTTTATAATGGGATGTGAGAAATGTGATTGGACAAGCGTGGAGAAGAAGACAGAACTGTGGAGAGGTGGATCTTAGCTCAGGGTAATTAATATCTGCTACAGCATTCGCTGTGCCTGCGATGGCAGAGTGATGGATGCCTCTATAACATCAGCAGTGAGCCTGACACAAGGAACATGATTATATGTGTGTGTTACTGTTAATATATGTGGAGTGGGAAGTAGGTGTGGGATAGGAAAGAGGCATACCACTTTCTTTGTACACCCTTATCTTTTCCTCAGTACACACACACACACACACACAGAGATCCACATAGAACATGCATTGTCCATTCAACAATAATGTCTGGAGAAAGCCACTGCAGCTAACATATATAAAAATCAATACATCCTGAGTGTAAACAACCTTACTGTATATACAAACAATCAATATTGTTTGCTGGTGAAATAAAACATTAAACTGTTTAGCTTATAGTGTTTCTTCCTTTCTCACAGATTTGCAATTTGCTAGTTATTTGGCTCCATGAATCCAAAAACCCTAATACATGTAATTATATTTATTTATTATTTTCTATAATCTATCTTATTTCATTTTCACACAGAAAAAAAGAACAATAAACTGTGGATTTCTACAAAGTTGGTTTATTGCAATGGTAAAGTCCATATATAGATGAAAACATGACGCAGGTTTACTAAGGACTTTTATTAATGAGCGGAGTCAAAGTTATTACTTAGGAGGGAGTATCAATATCAAATTTTGGGGACACATTCAAGATTCAACTTAAAGTGTTAGCAGCCAGATGAGCAAACTAAATACAGAACAAGAACCTGAAATCTCTACCAATACTCTGAAAGCATAATGATGGGTTAATTACAGCGCTGACATGCAAAAGAGTTTTTTCGGTAAGAGTATAATTCTACCAGTAAAATATATTATCTGAGTTGGGTTTTTCAGCAGATAGGTCAAGAAATCTTGTCATTTATTTAAAAAGGAAAATCATTTGTATGCAGGAGCATTGTGAATAAAAACTGAATGTAACACTGCACATGCAAATGTAGACAACCCAAGGTCCATTTTGCTCCCTATTTGGCAGTTTCTTCATTTTAAATTGAACCTATTTTATGATGGACTTTAACTTTAACCTTTTTGTTATTTAGTTGATGAAATGATTGCCATCGCTATAGGTGAGCTTGAGTTATCATTTCAGGGTTTTGGGAATAGAGTATATTCAATGGCATTGCCAATGGCAGTGATGTTTTAACAGGAGTTATTGATTGGCTTTATCTAATAAGCTGGGTTGACAAGTGAGGTGGCCAGAGGACCTATGCAACTGGCAGTGATCCACCATTTGCCACAACGTCTCAGTAGCATTCATGAG